ACAAACAAAATTTCTTTAATTTGTACTTCTTGTTTAGTAATTCCCGAAAAATAATTGTAACATTAATAATAGATAGTTACATTATAAAAACAAAAAAAAACGACTGGTTAAAAGTAATGAACTGAATACATAGGTATAACTCATATATACTTCAGTAATCTCCTTTTAATTTCCTTTATTTATATACCCCTATCGATAGCTTGATTAAAAAAAATTAAGGACTTACAATTTGGCGACAAAAATCCGTCATATTGATTAAAAAAAAACTATCTAAGAACACACGGGCGTTTGAGACGAATCACACAAAATAATCTTTTTCTAAATAAGCACCACATTATCGATATTAAGTATAGTGCGCAGCACTATGTCAAGCCGCCATCTTTGTGCCAGACTCAGTTTAGGTACACACGTTTTTCGTAGGTATGTCATGTCCTTTCTTTTTTTCTCTAGTCAAAGCAGGAAACAGCTACACAGTGTTGTCGTATATACAGATTTCCCCGTATTTATACAGATTTTCGGTGTGTGATACAGATTAGCACTGGATACAGTTTTTATACAGAGTTTTCTAACTGATTGGATTACCGTAATATTCAACTTAAAACAGAATGAAGCAAAATAAGTGCCTAGATACCGCGTTACACACATCATTGCATGATTCTGTTCTTTATGGTTAATTTTATTTTTTCACAAGAACGTAATTAGTTAGTATGGCAGAATTAAAAGTGCATTATAAAATATGTATATATAAAATATATATGACTGAAAATAATAAAGTAATTATATATTCATTTGTTATAAATGTTTGAGTTTTAATATGTCGTTTGCTTAAATTAATGTTTTCAATTTTGCTATATAAAAAATTTAGTGTACCTATAGTGTATATTTTATACGTGGTAGAGCCACGCTGCAGCTATACTATAGTTGCAGCACGAATGAGTCAGCTCGACCGGGGAAGCACCACGCTCTCTCAGAATACCAGCTTAAAATACCAGCTTAATACTGCTGTGTTTCGTATGGTGAGTGTAGGAATCTGAAGACCATTTTTTTTTCTGGAAATGACGCATTCCGTCATAGTCCTCTGGCGTGACAACGTATCTGCGTTTTTATTCTTAAGCGACGATAAATGTAGATGTCTATGGGCCACAGTATCCGCTTACCATCGGTGGACTATGTGCTCCTTTGTCACCTTTATTATATAAAAAAATCATTTAATAACGATAATCAAACCTTATCAGCTTATCACGTTGGTAGTTATTCCTTGTTTTTCAAAAGAAGCAATGATGATCAATCATTCTATTTTGGTTTATTAGATTATACAGATTTTAAGTTTAAATAGAACACAGATTTAATACAGATTTTAGCAGTTTCTAATACAGATAAAAGGTTCAAGGCATCTGGCAACACTGCAGCTACATGAAATGAAGTTTTAGATAGGTACCAAAATGCAGAAAAAGGTGGGCATGTCGATTCGCTCTTAAAAAAATCGATTTGAATCGAAGGTACTTGAATCGATTATCGATTAAACCGAGGATTAAAAGATCGATTTTCGATTAATCGCGATATTTTCAAACATGATATTTCAAGAATTTTCTATTTTATTTCTTAAACTTCTAAACTGTAATATTTTTTAAATAAAATATTAGTAATCTTACTGATTAACATTACTAATATTCCTTTTAACCACTCCTGGTAAGCTTGAAACGCTTGTGATTTGTGTTAGGAGTGGTTCGCACATACTCCACTCGATCCCTTTTTTTACAAAGTGATTCCACGTAACACTTTTATTTGACATTTTAGGCTAAAAACAACAACAATACTTTAACAAAAGTGCAAACTGCATGATTTCTCGATATATCTGTTTCAATCTAATAACTCACTACTAACGAACACAATACTGGGTATTTCCTTACTATAAATCTCTTTAAACTTCAACGTGCGGTATAATATTTATTTACAATATCTAGGTATTTAAAAAGTACTCTGTCTATACTTACAGCTCACAGTATGTATATTTTTGATAATAAATAATGTAAATTCACAAGTTCACAGTTCAAACAGGTTCACAGCTATAATATTATGTTATATTTTAGTACAGGAGGTGAAATTTAATATGAAAATATCGTTCGGTCGATCGAAAAAATATTTATAGTTTTTGATGTAATATATATTACATCTCAGTGGAAACGGTTCCATTTAAAAGTACGGTGACCGATATTAATTTATATCTCGAGATGTAATATAAATTACATTATATCCCTTAGTGGAAAGTGAGCTTAAGAATTTTAGAAATGAAAATGAACTGACAACGTTTCGATATTGTTGGATGTGTTCATAAACATTTATTTTATTCAAATATATATTGCGTTCAAATTATCAACCAAGTACGACCGGTTGTTTTTGCGTCCTCCAACAGTAAAAAATTAAAAATTGTGGTATCACCCCGGCCAGTTTGGGAATTTTAGCTAGTTCTTAAATCAAATGAATCAGTCCGATTCAAGAGGTTTTTGGATCGATTCAGTGAATCGATGCAGTGCTTCGAATCGATCTAAAAATCGATAATTTTACTCCAAGGAATCGATTTTTCTATTAATCGATTTTAGATCGACTTGCCTAGAAAAGGGTATCCCTTTATAAAGTATTCGTAATAATGTGACAGTATGAGTGAGACTTTGTGATCAATATTTTGAATTGTGCTAGCTAGCTTGCTACATATCATAGATTACTGACTATATACTAGAGACTACATATTTATTTATCTATGGTGCTAACGCACACCGAGTGGGAGACTTGCAAGGAATGCAATCCCAACGTTAAATAATAGTAAATAGTTATAAAATTAATTAGTGTTTGAAAAATATTTCAATGAAATTCCTATTTTGACAACAAAGTTTATTTCATTGAATAGTTCTCCAACTGTCGCCGATTCATTACTCAAACAGAATGTTAATACCTGTTTGAAAGAATTTAGATTTGAAAAAGTATTACCTACCACAAGATATTGTAAAATATTTCAAAATGCTTGATGTTAAAAAACTGCAGATTTGTGGGGTATTTCCATTACAGTTATGGGGTCCATAATAGATTTAATTGCACTTCATCTTGCTATTATTTTTAATACTTGTATCGAATCTGGTGTGTTTCCTGATTTAATGTAACATTGGTACCCGCTAATTTTAGAGCTATTTCTGTACTACCAACTCTCAATAAAATTTTTGAAAAGATAATTTTAGATCAATTGTTATTTTTTTTAATAAAAATAATCTACCAATTTGGTTTCATAAAAACATAAATAATTCTCATAAGAATAAAGATGTTCATACTTTAAACATTAGGAACAAATATAAGCTCGTAATACCAGTTACTAGACTCCACAGAATTAGTAATTCATTTATGGGGCAATGTAGGCTTTTACAACAAAATCCCAGAATATGTTCAAAATTTGTTATTAAATAAGTTTAAATGTTTTATTAAAAAAATTGTACAAAAAGGGTTATTATAATATAAATGAATACGTAAATGAAAATAACCACCACCACCATGCAGGTTTTGGTACGACTTTCCATTGACGTCCGTCGAATTGGAGGTAGGAGGGGGTGGGGGGAAGGCGGGGGAGGCAAGCCTCGCCTCCGCAGCTTCGGCTTGTTGGTCGCCTTCGGCGACTAGCCTCAGCCGCTCCGGCTCGTCCGATGCCTACGATTTGTTACAGCAGGCGGAGGCTGCTCTCCCTACGCGCCTCCGGCTCTATAAAAACACTCTAGGGGTAGGACAGACTCGTACCACGTGGAGTCGAGGTCTATTGATTCGGTTCCTTGACGTAAGTTGAACCTAACCTATTTTATTTGTTATCTGTCCTAATAGGTGGATACTGTTTTAAACACATGTTTTATACAATTTTATACACATATTGCTTTAATTAATTCTTAGAAATCGTCAGGGTCGGCGCAGTGGCTTAAAAAGTGGCGGGGTCGCGGTGCCCCCCCCGAAAAAAGGCACAAAAAATGCCGTGCGGGTTGGTTTTTTTTTACCCCCCCCCACAAAAAAAAAAAAGAAGAAAAAAAAAAAAAAAAAAAAAGTCTTACGTTACGTCCCACAAGCCGGCAAAAAACGGTAAACACTACACATTTTAATTTTAATAGCTCATAATGATAATAATTCTGTAATTTAAATATAAACTGTTAAATATATGTGTATGCATGAAAGCTATTTAAATGAGTACAAAAAATAATTATTTACGTAAAATGTACAATAAAATGCTACCGAACGTATGACAACTTAACTGTACGGAAAACGAACGTTCAATGGCGTGAATTCGATGTAATCTGTGATATATTACTTTCCTCTATGTCTGTGGTAATAGGGGCTACACACGATCACTTTTAACTGTCAGTTTTGACTAACCAGTTTTAACTGACAGTTAAAACTGACGTCCTTTGCACCCACACACGTTCAGTTTTAACTGTTCTCTTTGACCACAAACAACATTATCATCTCAAGATGTCATCAGCCGACGACGACGCTTTAGCCGTGCTTGGTTTATTAATGATTTTAAAAAATAAAAATAAAAAAATATACGCAAAGAGTGGTGTAAAGAGTGGTTAAAAAAAAGGAAAATTTATTCCCATGTTAATTTATTAACCGAACTAAAAATTGTTTCGAAGGATTGGCACAACTATCTCAGAATGAGTGAAGAAATATACCTCAATCTACTATCTCTAGTGTCTCCACTGACTAGAAGAAAGGATACAGTTACGAGAAATGCTATTTCGACACATGAGAGATTAACAGCAACGTTACGATTTCTAGCAACAGGACGGAGCTATGAAGATTTAAAGTTTTCCACAATTATTTCACCTCAAGCCCTCAGCAGCATAATACCAGACACATGTGAGGCTTTATAATAGAAAACTTAGAACATTTAATAATTGCTTTTATTATTTATTATTAAGAAAATTATCAAGAGATGACTTAAAAAAAAATTAAACTGAATGCGGTTTAGAGGCCTACGATTCATTTTGCATGTACTGACATAAAAATGAAGCCGCAGTGTTTACTTCTTGTAAAGGTATAGACATTTCAGGGATTGAAATTTGTACCGCTCCTGTATTGTTGTCTAAAAGGTATGGCTGAAGTATGCTCTGTGATTCTGCAGTGTTAGAATTTATTTGTTGTATTGTTGCACGATCCGATATTTTGTGGTCAATAGTCAATTTATCCATTTCAGCTAAGAATAGAGCTTCGTTTATAATACCTTCCGCTAAAATGCGCTGTTCTTTAGGAAGATCACGCAACTTCATTGCCACGTTTTTCCCAAAAATATCGAAACGATCATCCCGCTGTACAGGACGTTTAAAATGATCCTGTACAGTTAATAAAACGTCATTGGTTAAAGTTTGATTGAGATTCCTTTTTGTCGGTCTCGGATGGTGAGGTGGTGCCGACGATGATGCTGAATTTCCTGTGTCAGATTCAGAGTGGTTTGAAGCCAAAGATGAACCCGGTCTAGAGTCTAGGTCTTCATTCTGTAACAATAATACATACACAATTAATAATATAATAATATATAATGTTTTATTTTCAGTTTCCCAATACGGAACAAGATTGGAAAAATATTGCTGAAAAGTTTGAGAAGAGATGGAACTTTCCACATTGCTTAGGAGCAATAGATGGAAAGCATGTTTCAATTGCTTTACCCCCTGGATGTGGATCAGAATTTTATAATTATAAAAACCGACATAGCATGGTTTTAATGGCTATTGTGGATGCTCAATACAAGTTCATTTTGTGTGATTTTGGCACAAATGGAAGAATTTCAGATGGTGGAGTATTACGAAACACTGTATTTTTCGAAAAACTTCAAGACAGTAAATTAAACATCCCAGCCGCCGAACTAGTCAAAAATAGCAACAGAAGTTTACCTTACGTATTTGTTGCTGATGATGCGTTTCCATTGAGAACAGACATGATTAAACCATTTAGACAAGCAGATCCATATACTTATGAGATAAAAAATATACAATTATCGAGTATCAAGAGCAAGGAGAATTGTTGAGAATGCTTTTGGGATTTTAGCGTCTCGGTTCCGTATATTTCACACAGAAATAATCATCGAACCAAAAAATATTGATTCCGTTGTAATGGCATGTTGTGCTCTACACAATTACTTAACTGAAACAAACCAAGCCAATTACAATCCTCCTGAAATTCTTGATAGGGAATATTTTGATAACGGAACAATTATACAGGGAGTGACTTCGGCAGATTCGGACATGATAGATTTAGATAGAAGACACCAAGGAAATATAACAAATGCAGCCAAGAAAACAAGGGAAGATTTTATGAACTATTTCGTGAATGAAAGACAAGTTCCATGGCAGGATAATTTTATTAGTTAATGTTTTTATAATAGTCTAATATCAATAAACTAAATTATAAAATAAACAATAATAGTATTTATTTACTCACGTCATTTGTTTCTTCGTCATCCTTGGAAATATTTGATCTTGAGGATCGTGGTACTTCTTGGTCGGTGAGAAATTGTAGTAAATCGTAATACCATAACTTTGGTATAAAAATATCATCTTTTCCAGATCCTGATCTTTGTGACGATTTGACTTTCAAAACTTCTTTTTTGAACATGCAACGCAGTGTGTTAATTTTACTTTTCACTGTATCTATAGTTGCCGTAGAGTCAATTTCTTTAATTTTTTCTAATAATACCTTGTAAGCTGCTGATTTCCTTTCTCGGTCATGGTACTCCTTACTTTTATTCTGCCATAAGCAAGGTTCATTCCTATATAATTCTATAAACTCGGCCAAGCACAGTCTTTGCGTCATTTTTTCTGCGTATGCGAAGAGAATAAACATGTAGAGACCAGTTTCTTTTTCGTGATCGCAACACGACTGAAGAAACACCGCCTACACACGTACAGTTTTAACTGATCAGTTCCGTCATTTCAGTTAAAAAATATGTATCCACAATATATCATCAGTTTTAACTGATAATAAAAAAACTGACAGTTTTTATCGTACACACACTCAGTTTTCACTGTCAGTTAAAACTGGTCAGTCAAAACTGACAGTTAAAAGTGATCGTGTGTAGATCCCTATTAGGATTGACGTAAATATTATAAAAATAATTGATTTTCAATAATTTTTTTCTCAAAAAGTACGCGTTTCCGCATGTTGAATATTGCTTTTGTGTTTACAATGGTGTAACCTTTCTGTAAAAAAAATATCATATAATCTGAGATAGGGATTGACATAAATATTGCAAAAATAATTGATTTTCAATAATTTTTTTCTCAAAAAGTACGCTTTTCCGCATGTTGAAACTTTACGTGTGTGCTTATATTAATGTCGTCCCAACTCGACGGACGTCAATGGAAAGCTTAGCCACATGATTGGCAAACGATGGGGTTTGACGCCAAAAATTATAATGTGGCTGTATAAAACTGTAATTCGGTCCATGATCACATATGGCTCTCTGGTATGGTGGATCAAAACCAATGAAGCCACCACTATACGAAAGCTTCAGCGTTACCAGAGATTGGCTTGTATGGCTGCCACAGGCTGCATAAGGACTACACCAACAGCAGCTGTGGAGGCTATGCTGGAGCTAACACCACTTCGTCTACATATACAACAAGAAGCAACTTTAGCCGCCATTAGACTCAAGAACCTAAATCTTTTAAGTAAGAGTAGAGTCCCCCATACAGATATAATTGATAGAATTTACTCAAAAATTCCTATCTTACAAGCCAAGTATGATAGGATCCCAAAGCAATTTGTATTCGATAAGAAGTACAGGATACAATTGAAGGAAACTGACCATCTGGAAGGATTTGGTCCAAGAGAGCTCAAAGTTTTCACGGATTGTTCTAAGACAAATGAAGGTGTGGGGTCTGGGGCTTTCTCTGAAGACCTTAATATCCACCTATGCACACCGCTGGGTACACACAACACAGTCTTCCAGGCTGAATGCATGGGTATCATTCGAGCGGCCATAGCAATAGATGCTAGGAAAGTGAAAGACTTCTCCATCAGAATACTGACCGACAGTATGGCAGTACTACAAGCTCTGAGTTGCAATGTGACAAACTCGGGACTGATATACGAGTGCCATCAACGATTGAATGAGGTATGTAAGCACAACAATGTGACTCTGCAATGGATCAAGGGACACAGTGGATCTAGAGGCAACGATGCAGCAGATGAACTGGCCAGAAGGGGATCGGCCCTGGCAACTATAGTGCCGGAACCAATAATACCAATCCCCTTTGGCTATGTTCGTTCACTGGTACATAGATACTTCAATAATTTACACGCTCAGCTTTGGAAAGATTTAGTAGACTGTAGACAAGCTAGGGAGGCCCTGCCTGAAATAAACAGTTGTCTAACCAAGGTATTAATGAGACTTAACAAGCCACAGATCAGAATAGTAACAAGTGCTATCACAGGACATGGCTCTTTTAACAAACATTTGTTCACCATAGGTGTTACTGATAGCCCCCTGTGCAGGGCATGCATGGGAGAGGAAGAAACGGCGGCTCACGTGTTGCTGACATGTCCAGAAATCGCTTCATACAGGGCTAAACATCTCGGCACGCCGGGATCGCTCCCCAAAGTTGCTTGCAACATAAAGGGACTGATGAGTTTCTTCAGGGAGATATCATGGCTCGAATAACCATAGTATTCCTGCTCACACGCAAAATACGCGCTTAGACGTGGAGTTGCGGAAAACAGCCCATCGTAAACTAACTAACCATCTAGGGGGCCCCTTGCCAGGATGATGAAAGCAATGAAAATGTTTAGTTCCTTCAATGTACCTAACAAATTCAATGCTAAAATCCAATGTCCCTAGACAATAATGACTGAAATCGCAATTAAGCTTGGTGTCCATTCAGTATTTTATTTTATTTCAGACCCTTGCCATTTTAAGGCTTACAGTAAATAATAATAAATATGTATTCTCACAAATATTTGTGTTACTCCATCCATACCATCTTATTTAGAAACAAAGTACATTATTATTTATTGTAGGGCGTGCCCCCACTCGATGGAGTGACGACCTAGTAAGACATGCAGGAAGTCGACGGATGCAGGTGGTTCAGGACCGTGCTCTGTGGCATTTCTCGGGGGAAGCCCATGTTCAGCAGTGGACTTTTGAATGATGTTGAATGATGAATATTTTAAAAAGTAGCGGTGTTAGAATATCCACTACCGCATGGGTGTCGTAAAAGGCGACAGAGGGAAATTAAATCAAGTGATGTACAGCATCTTTTTGATAAAAACCCAAAATCAAAAATACTGCAGTTGCCGACCTGCCTGCCAAACATGGTAGTTATAACAAAATCTCCCATGTGGATCAATCTATGGGGAGGCCTATATTCAATAGACTTTGATAGCTGTAATAGACGGAAACATCTACAACTTTGTAAAGACAATAAATAAATAATGCAAATTGCATAAGCGAATCTATTGTTTGGAGGGGTCAGAAACTAAGGACTTTAGTCACATTACATTGTCACCCAAAAATGTCATAAGAATTATCTATTCTTCTTCTTCTTCATCATCGTCAGCCTGTAAAAGTCTACTGCAAGACATTAACCTCTCCAATGTAGCGGTAATTTGTCACAATTGTGACGGTTAGTGCGCAGATTAACAATTGTAATACAAGATTTCTTGCATCATTGACGTTACTGTCTGTAACCAGTCAGTATTTTATGCCTGCTCTGTAATGGATATGTTTATACCGCGAATTATCGAAACCATTAGATTTTTCTAACGTTTCTTATGGTCATGTCTTACTACATCCTCAGAATGTAATGGTGTGACGGGATTCATTTACCCTACAACTTCACACAAATTATCGTTCACTCCTTATCATAGCTATGTCATAAATGGTGTGTACTGACCTTACTTAATATTGTTTGTGGAGATTTTTAGTTTTAACTTTAGTATTACTATAATAATATTGTAAATGTAAAATTTGTTAGTTAGTTAGTGTAAAATTTGTTAGTAGATGGAGGCATACAGTTATATATCACATTCTTATTTTTAATTTAGCAATATTTTTATGCAGTACCCACTTAGAATTATTAAACTTAGATAAAATGTATGTTAAGTTATTACTAAGTGCTTTGACAGTTTTTTTTATATTTTAGCTTTAGATGACATGACCCAACCACTTCTTAAAATTGACTTCCTGGTAAATATGGTTCAAGGAGAAGTTACATTCTCACTGCGAGATATCTCAAATATAAATATACCAGACCTTGATACTCCATCCACATCTCAAGACATACTTCAATGTGCAGGTAAGAATTGTTAGCAATATCATTTGTATCATTTGCACAGTGAGTATCAATTAGTAGAAACCTTAAAAAAGAAGAATTTTTAAGTAGTGTATCTGCAGCATTGGAGCAGGTAAACAGATAACCAATTTAAATTAATATAATTAACATTATTTGTTTAAATCGATTATAATCTAGTTGCCTTATTTCATTTGGAATTTTATTAAATACTTGAATAGCCATCACATAGCAATTTTTTGAGTACAGGCTTGTTTTTAATGAAGGTAAAATAATTTTGTCTGGGTATCTGGTACTATGTGTTAAAAAAATGAGGATACTTTTTTACGAATATTGAAAGTTCAAAAATGTACATGGATGGTAGCGTAAGAACACCCAATTCTTTAAATAGTGTTTTTTTTATGGTTTCCGCCGGTGGGTACACCCCCACCAACAGGAGTATATTGGCAGTTTTCACAGTTTTGTACACTTTTTAAACATTTTTTTTATTACTTATTTCTATGACACATGGAGAAGGCTACGCGTTTCTGCTATTTGATACATATTGCGTATGCCTTCTCTTTATATTAATATAATTTGTTTAAGAGTTTGAAATTTTTGTACATAGTTATTATTCTAATAAAATTATCATTTGGTTATCATAGATATTCTTGTGTTTTCGTAGTCATATCAGAAAAGAAAAATAAGAGTGATGAAAATACAAAAAGAAAGAATAAAATGAATTAAATACTACAACAAAGAGTAATCTTGACTCTAAGCAAAAAGTATAGTATAATGACAATTAAGTAATATTAATTCTAAACACAGAAAACGTTCGCAAAAAGGGAGGAAACGAACTCATAGAGTAATCTTAATTCTAAACGTTTTATAGTAACAGTGGTATAGTAAAATAATATAATGACAATGAAATTAATTGAAATAAACAATCTTAGTTCTAGGCACATGAATAAAAATTGTGAGTACAATAGGGTTGATAACAGCGAAAATTAAAATATTAAAAGCTCAAAGGATCTTAATTCTAATGATAATCAAACGTTTAACAATTACAACATACAATAATTATTAATTATATCTAATAGAATAAATAAAGAAAACAAATTAAAGAGAGTGGTTGCTTAGTTACTAACTATTACTATTGCTATTTACAGATGCACAGTTCTTATTGAAGTTCTTAAGTCTTTTAAAAATATTATTAACAAATTGAATGAAAGAGTCCAAAAGGGACTCCTTCTTCATTAATGCGGTTAAGTTAAATGGAGGAGTTCTTAAATTTTCACAAAGTATGACATGATTTAATCGTTGCACTGAAAATGCTGGGCAATGCTCAGTGAGATGTTCCAGAGTTGAGTTGTGGGGTGACGTTATCACAAGGACAATAATTATTGTCAATTATTTTGCAGCGATAAAGATAAGCTTTGTGAAAACCGTGGTTGGTGAGCACCTGGGTGAAGTAAAAACTGGGTTTGGTGATAGTGCGTAACTTCTCGATATCCTCCAGTGTCGGAAGCAGTCGCTTGGCATGTTGGCCCTGCTCTGCGCTATAATACCTAGCTTGCCAGGTCGCGCGATTTTGAGATCTGATTGTGTGTTTGAGGTATGAAACGGGAAAGGCCAAGTAGTCAGGTTGTTTGCGCAACTTGGAGCCAGCATTCGCAGCCTTATCAGCTGCCTCATTGCCAGCTATGCCAGAATGACTCCCGACCCATCCCAATTCTATGATGCCTGTTTCTCGGTACTCGTATATAGTTTTGTGTATTTGTGTAATGATGGGGTGTGTATTGCTTCTGTTTTGTACAGCGTGTACAGATGAGAGTGAATCTGTATAGATGACTGTGTGTGTATATTTGTGTTCTTTGATCCACCTGCATGCCTGCAGAATGGCAAATAGCTCCGCTTGAAATACTGTACACGTGTTGTGCAATTTAAACTTCTTTATGTAAGCCACTTGATTAAGATTAGTAGGGAGATAGCCCACGAAAGCGGCTCCCACTGCACCGTCTTCCTGCTTACTACCGTCAGTGAATATAAAATGTGTCGTCTGTTCGGATGCAGATCCCGTAGATGTGAAGTTTGTAAATATTTTAGGAATAAAGGAAATACGTTGGGCAGGATGCAGGAGTTGAGAGACGGGAGTTGGTTTTTCTAGAGGGATGTCGCTGGGGATGTAGTCAGAGGTACCCAGAAGCCGAGCTCTTTCCACAGCGCAAACTTCCCGCACTTTCAGGTCCAGAGGCATAAACTGGGCTAACGCCAGGGCCGCGGATGAAGATACCGTGCGAAATCCCCTAATAGCCTTAATGGCAAATCCGCGCTGCATGCTCCCGAATGCCCTCCTGATGCACCTTTTCTGGGCAACGTGTCGCCAAATTCCAGCAGCGTAGGTGATAGTTGGCACGATCACTTGGTGGTAAATGGTACTGATGTTCTCAGGATGGGCTCCCCATGTGGGTCTCGAGTACATACAAAGTGTGTTGAAGATTCGCACGGCCTTGTTGATAACCTGTTTCACGTGTTTCCCAAAGTTTAGTTTTTCGTCTAAGATGACTCCCAGCAGTTTAACCTCTGGCACAAAAGAAAGACGGTGTCCGTCCATGTTAATGCTGGCTACCTTAGCCTTGGGAGTGAAGGCAATGAGCTTAGTTTTAGTGGGACCGAAGGTCAGCTTGACGCTCCTTCCCCACTCGACTATATGGTGGAGAGCTAAGTTGGCAGCACTCTCCAGCTCGCCGACACTCGCGGCCGTGACAACCAGCAAGACATCATCCGCAAAAGCCTGTATGTGACAGCCCGCTGGAAGCCTCGCATCGAGCAGCTCGTCTAGTATGATATTCCAGAGAACAGGCCCACACGTGGAACCTTGTATGCAGCCCTTAGACATCGTCTTGGTGACTCGCCTCCCCGCATGGTCAAGGATGACCTTCCGATCGCGGATATAATCCTGGATGAGTCCAAAGATGTTATTAGGGCATTGAATATGCCGCAACCGGTGGAAGAGTGCAGGCCACCAAGCGTTGTCGAAGGCTGCTTTAATATCTAGAGATATCGCGATGCTGAGGTGTTTTTCTGATTTGGCTAATTTAATTATTTTAAGAGCTGTGTGAATGGCTTCGCACGTGTTTGTCTGTTCCCGGAAACCTAACTGAAATTTGTTTAGTCGATTGTTTCGCTGCGCGTGGTATACGACCCTCTTGATAAAAAGCTTTTCCAACAGTTTGCCAAACACAGGTAGAAGTCCTATTGGACGAAAGGACTCTAATGCGCTGTAGTCGGACTTGCCCGGTTTCGGGATAATTTTTACGTATGCTGTTTTCCACTGGTCAGGGAAGTGTTGGAGTGTAAGACAACGGTTCAGTATATCTGTCAGGAGTCTAGGGTAATCTGTTGCAAATTGCTGACATATGTCGGATGTGAAGTTATCAAGTCCGGGAGTCTTCTTGGGGCTCATTTGTTTTAAGCACTCTAACACCTCCTCCTGGGTGAAGGGAGGATCATCGTGGGACTGAGGAAGGTCAGTCATTTCTGATCTGAGCTCGTGATGTCGCGTTAAGGTGTCTGGTGAGTCATCTGGGTAGAAGTGGTCAAGAAGTGCTTTGGCAGTCTCCTGGCTGTCTGTGGTGTAGGTGGAGCCCCTATTGAGAGTGACTGGTGGGCGCCTAGGGGTGGCATTTTTGAGAAGTCTGTTCGTGAGTGACCAGACATTTTCCTTAGTTTGCAATTCGCAAAACTCACGAAAATGCCTAGTCGACTCCTCACGCATCTTGTTGGCGTATAGTTCCTTTTTTTGTTTCCTCGTTTCTAAAATATGTTCCAGAGGCATACCCTGCGCTTGGCAGCGTGGAGCTGATGGTGTAAATCCACCACCTCCCGCTTGAGGGTCTCCAACTCCTCCGTCCACCAAGGAGCCTTGGGCTTGAGCCCCGGCTTTTAACATGCATGCTGGCTCGACATGCAGAGTGGATCACATTGGTTAGTTCGTTGATGATATGTTCCAGATCATCAACGTTCAGGGTAGAAATGTCATGTTCGAGTATGTTTCTGAGTGTCATGTGTGTGTGCAGTTTGTCCTTAAATAGTGGTTTGCAAGAAACTAGTGGCCCGACACCACAAATTGCTCGTATACAGCGTTTTTGTGCTATAAAGGCACGATTTACATCAGTCGAGTTTCCCCATAATATGAGACCATATCTTAATACAGCAGCGACAAATGCATGATATGCTATAAGGGAAGTGTTTCTTGACGAGATTGAAGTTAGCCTTCGCAAAGCAAAATTAAATTTAAATATTTTTGAACAAACTTTATCTATGTGATTTTTCCAATTACAATGTTTGTCTAAATTAATACCTAAAAATGTGGTACATTCAGTAGCAGTAATTTTTTCACCATTATACTTAATATCAAGTAATTGCGGTTTACTTTTAACATTGTACAATTGCATAAATTTAGTTTTAGATAGATTTATACTTAGATTATTGTAATTTATCCATTTGACAACATTTACTTTAGTATTATTTATTTCATTTTCGTATTCTTTATTACTATAATGAAAATTTATTTTCGGTATTAAAATAGAAATGTCGTCATCAAATAATATTGTATTATGTTTGATTAAGATAAATAAAAAGTCAAAAAAAGCTTCCCCGCCAATTTTCCATTGTTTTTCTCTCCGCCGAAATAAGTAAACCCAACGAAGAAATTTGACACATTCTGAAGCTTATTTTATTTTTTTACTTGTTTATAACTTTAACTTACATTCACAACTATGCTGCAGTAAATTACACTGCAATTTCCCAATACTATCCCAGTTAAATAAAACTAAGTGTATCACTTTTAATTTTAAAAGACTTCCTGCTGAAGAAAGAGAACAAATAGTTGTAACTGAATAATAATAGGTCGGGGAAGGTTTCTTCGTATTTTATATACAAATTCAAAAAAAAATTTTTTTTTCAAAGTTTAATAAGGTATTATTTTATTATAATATATATGCGCCATTTTATTCGATAACTTGTTGCCATTTTTTTGATAGTGAACGTAGGTAGGTCATGAATCCTGTTGATGTAGAAATTTTAGGATTTTTAATTTAAAAAAGGGCTAAATAGTTTTGGCAGCCCTCCCTTGATGTTACCTAACACTACCCAAAGAATTCTGAAGGACTATATGGTGGGTGTATTAACATTTCCCTGGTCTGGTGTTATCATGATGAAAGATCACTACTTTTCTGTTGATTAACTCCGGCGGTTTTTCTCAATTTCTTGCTTGAGTCTCATTAATTGTTGGCAGTAGAAATTCGAATCGATGGTCTTGCCCGGAGTTAAAACTCATATAATAAAACGATGTCCTTCCGATCCTACCATACACACAGCATCACCTTACATCATGTTCATCCAAGTTTTCGCTACAGTCTGTGGAGCTAGACTACTCTTTGGCCATAATCTCTTTCGTACGTTCTTGCCGAAGGTGATCCACTATTCATCACCAGTGGATCAATCTTTTCAATAATGATTGTTTCATTATATTTCAATAGAGAATCGCAAATTCATTTGGTTTCCTTCAGTAAGTTCGTGGTACCCAAATATAGAGAGAAATATAATATACCTCTGCATCATTGCACGCATGCATCATTTTTTTTAAATGTTATGCCATTTTATGAGGGCGACTAAAGCGAGCTCCGTCTTTGACATCAAAATTCCCGGTCTCTTACTGACACTGCATTTGGTCCATAAACGTCAAAAAATTTCGCGATTTGTGGTGCATTTTCCCTTTTTTGTAATAAGCTTCAGAATGTGTCAAATTTCTTCGTTGGGTTTACTTATTTCGGCGGAGAGAAAAACAATGGAAAATTGGCGGGAAAACTTTTTTTGACTTTTTATTTATCTTAATGTCCTATAATATGTATTGATATTAAAACCAGCCAGATACAAGCAGTACAACCAAAGAGATAATTCTTCAATTTTATATAATCAAAATATGAGAAAAATTTTTTCCCTTATTATTAACATTATCACAATGTTTGGCAACGAATTAGCTGGTCGCAGTATAGTTATCAATGTTATACATAATATTAATCAATAAAGTAACAGAAAACCAAATACAATAGGAAATTTATTATACAGCATCCAATGGTGGTCAAATACCATTCAGAAGGTTTACATTAAGGTCTACCCTCTATATACTCTATATAATACTTTTTTTTAATATTAAGACTTTAATGTACTATACATCTAAGCCTATTTAATATTTAAATAATTATTTTGTATTCATAAAGTCAGTCCTCCTTTGACATTGTCGCTAAACACACGCTTGTTCGTTTGAATAGTTATCTCAATCTTTCTCAATCAGTCTTTCTCAAACTTTTCATAATGTTTACCTGCTCTGGTTGCGGCCTTCAACACTCTGACGGTCCTGTTTGCAGTTTATGTAAGAATCGGTACGACTTCGGTTGTGCTGGAGTTACTGAGACCGGGTTTCGGAAGCTTGGTGACAGGAAGAACAACTGGCGCTGTCCGAAGTGCAAGGCGGGCCCACCACTTTCGCCGACTCCTAACTCACCAGCGATTAGTCAGATGGATAGTGTGCTAGAACAGCTGAGCCATATTAATCTACGGTTGGCTCCATTGGCGTCGCTGATGGAAGACATCAAATCCATCAAGTCGGATGTCATTAGTCTAAAGTCGTCGTTAGAAATGGCACATGAGTTAATAGATAAATTTTCGAGTACTGTTAAATCCCTGGAATCGAGGATAGCTAAAGCGGAGGAGATGGCGAATGACGTATCAGGGCTGCGTGCGGAAATAACCAAGTTAAACCAGGAACTTGACATCAGGGACCAGTGGGCTAGATCCAACAATATTGAAATCAGGGGAATACCACAAAAAAATAATGAAGACCTCTATGATTTAACTCAGAAAATTGGCAACATGTGTAATTTTCCTGTAAAAAAAAGAAGATATAAATTATATAGCCAGAGTGCCCACTCGTGTACCGAATGTTGAGAAACCAATAATTGTTTCCTTTAACAATCGATATATTAAGGAAAATTTTGTTTCATCATCGCGTAAGACTCGGCTGTCGGTGTCGGACATGGGCTTTGCATCTACTGGATATTGTTATGTGAATGATCACCTAACTCAACGGAACAAGGTTTTACTGAGCAAAGCCAAATCTCTGGCGAAAAATAATAATTTTAAATATATATGGGTTAAGCACTCAAAAATTATGGCCAGGAAGTCTGATACTTCTCCTATATTTTTTATAAGGTGCGAGAAAGATCTTGTCAGAATAGTTTAAATATTAATTTGACCTTTTTTCTTTTGTACTCAAAAAATTTATTGTCTTATGAAATATTGTTACAAAGTTTGAGAGCCGTCACCGTCTGTTTGTTAACGTTTTATTTTATCCATAAATATGACTGTGTTGCAGAGTTCAAGCTAATATCATATGTAAGTATGCAGCCATTGACGCAACGTTCACCCGTATGGGCACGTTTATACATCAGCGTACTACCCATTTTAGATTGCGCGCTACTAAACTTAAGTCTGATTTTGCCTGTCATTTACTTCGACTGCACAAGACCTATTATTAACTATTTCATATTTACCCTACTATTTATTGCTGTTATTATTTGCTATTTTAATATGAAATTATCTCGAATTAATACTAATAGCAATCGAAATAGTACCACCAATCGTAATCTATTACCATTTATATTTTCTGGACTTGTCGTCTTAATGTTAATGTTAAACTGGAATTTGTTACGCGTTTACGCTCAATTTTCTCTCCTATGTTCAAGTAATTGCCAGTACATAGGAATTGTAAATGGCTGTCTCTTCAAGTACTATACGCGTAAAGGTATATTATTATTACAAAATATATTTTATATACTCTTATATTTTACGGATGCGAACACTTTGTTACTAAGTCTGAGTACCCGCCTCTCCGGGTATTATCGGCCTGAAGGTGTATCCTTATTTGTATTTTTATCATTATATACACATTCTTATATATACGTAATAATGAAATTATACTTCATGTTGTTATTATGGGCTGAGAGTGACTGTTACACTCATACGTCCACTGGTCTTGTGATTATCTATAGTGATAATTGGTACCTCATGTTTTATTTTTTTGATAATAATCTTATTAGTTGCGGTTTTGCTCAAGTTGCGGATTGTATGTATATTTATGTATCACATGTGTGTGTATATATGTTTTTATGCGTAGGTATGCGTGTGCATGTATGTGTATGTTTATGTGGTTACATATGTAAGTGTATGCGCACGTGTTTGTATATGTTTTTCATGATTACTAATGGCTTCGTACGACCTTAAACTGTATTACCAAAATGCTCGGGGTCTACGCACCAAGACTTACGCATTCCAGCGGAGTTTACTCCTGTCCTCTTACGATATTATCTCACTAACGGAGACCTGGCTTACGGATGGTCTAAGTGATAGCGAATTATTCGATGATAGGTACATTGTCTGGCGGCGTGATAGGAATTATCAATCGACACAGTTGAAGTATGGAGGTGGGGTATTGTTGGCTACTCACCGTCGGTTAGCTGCAGTGGAACGCCCAGAATGGCACTCCTCTGCCGAAGACATCTGGGTTACAATCACATCGAAAAAAGGAAAACGGGGATTACATTCAAATAATATTCACATTTGCACCTTATACTTGTGTAAGGAAAATCTAGGTAATTCTTTCAATACGCAATTGCAAAACTTCTCAGAGAAGCTGTCACTCATTGTTAGTTCATGTCCGAACGACTTATTTTTAATAATGGGAGACTTTAACTTAAGTAACATCAACTGGAATGGTGAGATTGACTGTCTGCAACCTATTGGGATCCTTGGTGAATCGCAGTTATTATTTTTCGATACATTAGCCGAGTGCAACCTTAATCAGTTTAACTTGAATAGAAATATTAACAA